TCATAGGGAACCTCTTGTGACGATTCATTTCCTTGTCCTGAACCCATGCAGTAGTAAAGTCAACCCTACAAAGCGTGTGACTCAGCTCTCTATAAGTAGTCATGTTAATGAATTGCTCTAGTGGCTCCACAAGAACATTTGGAGTACCTAGAAAATCACATATGGCCTTGGCTGAAAAATCAATCAGGCGTCCATGGATTGGCACCAACTCTTCAGTGTCCAGTGGGTCAAACCCTGCATAGAATTCCCTGACAAAGTTGAGGTTGATGTCCCCTGTGTTCTTAAAAACATAGCTTAACTCCAGATCCTGGATGCTTTTCCAAATAGCCAGAATCTTTGCTTTCACACTACGTTCCTGGATAGCTCCCTCCGGATGGCTATGTTTAGGCCTACAGCGCTTGTACCAATCCATCATCTGTGGAGGTATGTTGTTTATGCCAAATTCCCGTTGGCCTAGGGGTTGTGGATGCATGGCAGCTGTCGTTTGGGCAATAGTCATACTAGAGGCAGCTTCTCCCCCATTTCTTCTCTTTGGAGGAGGTGCGGAGGTTGACTTTGCTTTAGCTTGGGCCGTTGAGGTAGACTTTCCCTTTCATGTGTCTTTTCTGGGAGGCATCTTCGTTCCTACACAGATAAGCAGTAGTCAGATAACGCTACATTACACACTACACACATAATCTTCCCAACTTGCCGAGGTTACTCAGACTTCACCTCATATTACCTTAACATTAGAATCACACTACAATATTTGGGCGCTCTGTGAGCCACCCGACACTTAAGTTATTAGTGGTGCATGATTACATAACACTAGATTACTAATCACGGAAACTCGGGATCCAAAGGGGACTAGGAATGCCATTGAGGCATTTCATCAAACACTTGACAAGCACTGGTGCCATGGGAGTTCTTATGGACTTGAGGGATTTCCTCATCCTCCAAAATTGGCTTGGGAGTTCCATACTACCCCACACAATTTCACAATCACATAACCATTCCTAAGGGGTTCAAGGGATTGGGGCACACAAACACAATAAGACCATGAAGAACAACCACCCATAATGAAGCACACCCAATAATGAAGAATAACCCACAATGAAGAACAACCACCATTCAATTTATGTACCCAACTCGAAATTACCAAGAAAAGAGATAGAATCATACCTTCGAAGCTTTGTGAGAAGTAGATTGCCTTAGAATTTCAGATGAGTGTGAAAGACTAGCAAGATGAAACTTGGCCTCTATGTGGATGGTGATTGTGTGTGGGTGAACAAGCAATTTGTGTAATGTGTTTGTATTCTTGTGAAATTTCTTGTAGAGCTTGGTGTGTGTTGGTTGAAGTAAGGTTAGGGTTTGCTTTGTAGAGTGTTCAGTGAGTGACGGCGTGTTTGTGATGTTTGTTTGACCAAAATAAGAAAAAATAACTTAAAGAGGGCAAAAAAAATACCTGGCATTTGTCAAGCGTCGCCAACCTAACGCCTAGATAACCCTGGTGTTAGCAAGACGTCGCCATCCTAAGGCCTGGCTGACCCTGGCTTTAGCCAGGCGACGCCAGCCTAAGGCCAGACTGTCCCTGGCGTTTTCCTGACTTCGCGTGACATTGAAACCTTGCTCAACTCGCCCAAACTCACCTGCAAACTTGTTAGTATCTAAAAACAAAAAGAAAAATTCTAACTACGCTAAAAATCAACTATGAATTGGATTTCCTCCCAACAAGCGCCTTAGTTGACTTCGTAGCACGACGAATACAACAGATCAACGGGTTGCCTCCCATGAAACGCCTGATTTAACGTTGCGGCTTGACGTAGACAAGCACATTTAGAGTATGCTCAACATGATAGGCTCGATCAAATGGGTCATTGACTCTACATTTGCTTCATCAATGCCCACATAATGTTTTAATATATGCCATTGACTCTAAACGTGCGAAAGTCATTATCCGCAACAATATCTACGGCACCCGTGGGGTGAATTTCAACCACACTAAAAGTCCCTAACAATCGGGATTTTAATTTGCCCGAAAATAACCTCAGTCTTGAGTTGTATAGAAATACCGTATCTACGGGTTTAAAGCTCCACTCAATAATATTTCTATCGTGTATCATCTTCATTCTCTCCTTGTATAATCTTATGCTCTCAAAAGCGTGATATCGGAACTCTTCAAGCTCGTGCAACTCCGTTACTCTACTTGTTCCCGCAACTTCAATATCAAGATTCAACTATCTCAACGCCCACCAAGCTCTATGCTCCAACTCTACCGGTAGATGACACGCCTTCCCAAATACCAACTTGTATGGCGACATGCCGATTGGATTTTTGAAAGCGGTTCGATAAGCCCAAAAGTGCATCATATAACTTCCTCGCCCAATCTGTTCTAGTAGCATTCACAGTCTTAGTCAACACACTCTTTATTTCTCTATTCGAGACTTCCACTTGCCCGCTTGTTTTCGGATGATATGGGGTGGCCAACTTGTGGTGTACATCATACTTCTCTAAAGACTTAGCGACGGCTTGATTACAAAAGTGAGTGCCTCCTTCACTGATTATTTCCCTTGGAGTGCCAGATCGGGTGAATATGTTCTTTCTCAAAAAACCAATTACCCCGTTTGCATCATTTGTAGGGAGTTCTGCAGATTCCACCCATTTTGACACGTAGTCCACAGTGACGAGTATGTACTCGCTGCCATATAAGTGGATGAAAGGCCCCATGAAATCGATCCCCCATACTTCAAACACTTCTACCTCCTAAATTGGGTTCATAGGCATCTTACGTCGGCAGGAAATATTCCCGGTTCGTTGGCATTCATCACACCTTTTTATCCATAAATGTTCATTTTTGAACAGTGTTGTCCAGTAGAAGCCCGACTCTAAGACTTTTGCAGTAGTCCTTACTCCACCGAAGTGCCCACCATATGGTGACGCATGACATGCCTGCAAAATAGAAGACTGGTCTATCTCGGGGATACATCTCCAGATCATGTTATCAATATAAAACCTGAACAGATAAGGCTCATCCCAATAATACATACGACAATCACGAAAGAACTTTTTCTTTTGAACAGAGGAAAGGTCATAAGGAACAATACCGCTCGCCAGATAGTTTGCAATGTCTGCATACCATGGAGCTTCCTCAAGACTCGTGGCTAGTAGTTGTTCATCTAGGAAAGTTTCCAGAATCTCTTCTACCTCAGCCTTTTTTCTTAGCTCCTTCCATCCTAGAAAAATAATCAGCTACTTGGTTCTCCGTCCTCTTTCGGTCACAGATTTCCAAATAAAATTCTTGCAGCAGTAGCACCCATCGAATCCCGCGCAGTTTTAACTCATTCTTCTCGATTAAGTACTTGAGAGCAGCATGGTTAGTATAAACAATTACCTTCGAGCCTATTAGGTATGACTTGAACTTGTCAAATGCAAACATTACTTCCAGCATCTCCATCTCGGTCACAGTGTAATTTAGTTGGGCTCCACTCAGCGTTCTACTTGCATAGTGTATTGGATGCATGATTTTATCCTTTCGTTGCCCAAGAACTGCTCCCACAGCATAGTCACTCGCATCACGCATCAGCTCAAATGGTTGCTCGCACTCGGGGAAAACTATGATAGGTGTTGTTACCAATCTCTTTTTTAATTCCTCAATACCCTGTAGTTATCAGAAAACACAAAAATGTGATCTTTTTCAAGCAATTTACACAAGGGGTTAGGAATTTTGGAAAAATCTTTTATAAATCTCCTATTGAAACCGGCGTGCCCAAGGAAACTTCTGATTGCTTTGACGGAAGTGGGTGGTGGAAGCTTTTCTATCACATAAACCTTTTCACGATCCACCTCAATACCTTTACTTGACACTAGGTGCCCCAAGACTATACCTTCATGTACCATGAAATGGAACTTTTCCCAGTTGAGTACCAGAATAGTCTCGATACACCATTTCAAAACTCTTCTCAAGTTCACAAGGCAATCATCGAATGAGTTCCCCACCAGTGAGAAGTCATCCATGAAAACCTTCATTATCTCCTCTACCATATCTTTGAAGATGGCCATCATGCACCTTTGGAATGTGGCGGGTGCGTTGCATAGGCCAAACGGCATTCTCCAAAAGGCATATATACCATAAGGGCAGGTGAATGACGTTTTCTCTCAATCCTCCGGGGCAATAGAAATCTGATTATACCCCAAGTACCCATCCAGAAAGAAAAGGTGAGTCCTTCCTACCAATCTATCTAGCATTTGATCAATGAATGGCAGTGGGAAATGGTCCTTCTTGGTAGCCAAGTTCAACTTCCTGTAATCCATACAGATTCGCCAACCTGTGGCTGTTCGTGTAGAGATCAATTCGTTCTTCTCATTTTTCACTATCGTCATACCCCCATTTTTTGGTACACACTGCACTGGGCTAACCCAGTTGCTATGAGAGATGGGGGAATATGATTCCCGAATCTAACCACTTAATCACTTCTTTCTTTACCACTTCTTTCATGTTGTGGTTCAACCTTCTTTGATGTTCTCTGGAAGGTTTGTGCCCATCTTCCAGTAAAATCTTATGCATACAGAGGCCGGGTTGATCCTCTTGATGTCAGCAATGGTCCACCCAATTGGAGTCTTGCACTCAGTCAGTACCAAATCTATTCTACCTGCACAACTAATAAACTAGATGAGATAATAACAAGTAAAGTTGAGCTAGGTCCTAAGAATGCATACCTGAGATGAGATGCCAGTGGTTTTAGTTCCATCTTTGGTGGCTCTTCTATTGATGGCTTAGCTGGAGGAGTTTTTATTTCCTCTTAGTGCAGGGGCTCAAATTCGAGCTCCCTTATCCAAAAACCTTGTCCTTCAAGAGCAAGTACCCACTCTGCCAAGTCTTCTCCATTGGCTTCATCAAAATTCATGAGACAGGCTGCTAGAGGGTCTTTAGTGTTCAATGTCTTATCTTCTTCCTCCAAAATTACATACACGACATCTATTAGAGAGCAATTAGCAAATTCACTTGGTCTCTGCATAGATTTCTACGCGTTGAATGTTATCTCTTCATCATTTAACCTCATCTTGAGCTCTCCAGTTTCATAGTCAATCAACGCTCTCTCAGTGGGCAAGAATGGTCTTCCTAAAATTATGGGAAATTCCTCGTCAACCGGACAGTCAAGGATGACAAAATCTGATGGGAACACAAACTTCCCAACCTGTACAAATACATCATCTATAATCCTAGATGGCCTCTTCATTGTCCGGTCAGCCAACTGTAGTAACATAGACATGGGTCTAGCTCTTCCAATGCCTAGCCTTTTGTAGATAGCCATGGGCGTGAGGTTTATGCTTGCCCCCAGATCACACAGTGCCTTAGCAAATGCATAGTTGCCTATCGTACATGGGATTATGAAACTCCCTAGGTCAGACAGCTCCTCAGCTTTGGGTCTCGTCACAATAGCACTGCAGGTCTGAGTCAGTGTAACTGTGGCCAAATCTTCAAATTCGAACTTGCGGGACATCTAGTCCTTTATCATCTTCGCATAACTAGGCATCTCCTTTAAAGCACCAGTCAATGGAATGTTTACCTTAATTTGCTTTAACATATCCAAGATTTTCTTGTACTACTCATCATTCTGATACTTGGCCAATCTCTGTGGGAATGGTGCTAGAGGTCGCTTCTTCCTTGTGATTTGATTTTTTTTCTTGTTCAGGCACTGCTTCTACTGTCAGTTCCGGTGCAACCTCAGTCTCTATTACAACCTCTTCTTCTTTGTTGATGTTCTCTTGCACATGTTTTATCGTAGCCTCAGTTAACCCTGTTGAATCATCTATCTCAATGATTACTGGCACCAGTGTCTCAGTCGGTCTGCTTTCGCGAGCAATTTCTTGCTCCAGATCTAAGTCTCTACCATTTCGGAGACTCATTTCTATCAGCTGCTTCAGGCCCTACTCTTTTAGATTAATTTGCGTGTCTACAAGTAACATCCCGTGGGGACGATTATTTAGGACATAGAAATCTATCCCAATTGGATCTCAATATTATTTATCGTTGATCCATGTGAGTCTACTCTGTTAGTTAGTTTTCTAGTAGACCCAATCACTTGTTTTATAATTCCCTCACGTTTAGCAAACCCATCTTCATGTCTCACAGTCTGTTGTTGTTGCGGTTGTTGATAAGCCTGCTGCTGATATTGCTAGTTGTAACCTTGTTGCCTTTAGTAAGGCACCACTTGACCCTGTGGTCGTATAGCCCCAAGGTTATTGTTGTTGTTGTACTACTGCTGGGCTGGTCTATATTGTTGATTCTGCTGACCTCAATTCTGACTGCCTGATCTCTGGCCTCTATAGTTGGCCACATAATTCATGTTCTCCTGAAATTGTTGGTTATCACCTTCAGCACTCCACGAGCAGACATATGGTGATTAATGCATGATGTACATAAACCCCTATTAGTTGCATCAACTATGTGTACCTGCTGCTTCTGGTCTGATTCATTAACCTTTTTGGTGATGATGCTCATTTGTGTCAGTAGAGTGGCCATATTTTCAGCTATGGAGTTAGTCAGGTCTAAATCCACTAAGTGAACCACAAGAGTGATTGGAGCGTTTCTTGTTGTCCATAATTTGTTTTGTGCCATCCTATCAAGTAGGATCTTGCTTTCTCTGAATGTTTTGCTCAAAAATGCTCGACCAGCTGAAGCATCAACATTGGCTTTCAAGCTATCTGCCAAACCCATGTAAAACCTCTGCCCCAACATTTGCTCTGGAATACCATGATGTGGACACGTAACTAGCAGATCCTTGAACCTCTCCCACGTTTCTTGTAATGTCTCTGTTGGTTTCTGTCTGAAGCTCAATATCTCATCAATTTCTTTAGTAGTCTTGTTGGGTGGGTGAAATTTGTTCGAAAATTGCTTCACTAATTCCTCCCAAGTGGTGATGGATTTTATGGAGAGTGAATTAAGACAAGTCTGAGCCGCTCCCGTCATTGAGTATGGAAACAACAACAGTCATATAGCTTATGGTGTCATGTTATGTTGCCTCTGCATGTCACAGATTGGCAAGAAATTCTTTAGATGCTGCTTAGGATCTTCAACGTATGACCTAGAGAACAGTCCCTTGTTCTGCAACAAATGTAGAATGTTATTTGTGATTTGGAATGATGTTGCTTGTATCTGAGGGACTACAATTACAGTTGCTAAGTTGTCAGCAGTGGGATGTGCCCAATCATACAGTGCTGCTTCTGGCACAAGAGGTACCACACACTGATTGTTTGGGTCATTCTCGTTGTTTCTATTGTTTAGATGATCGTCTTCCATGTCTGGTTCGATTTGTTCTAAGAAGTTCTGTTGTTTGCACGATTCAATGCCTTGAAAACTTTCTCAGGATCTGATAATGCTTCAAACAACTCACAAGTTCTTGAGGAGTTTCTAGGCATGTACCTGTAACACCCAAGCCTACAAACGTTAGAATTTCAATGATCAGTTTATATTGAAGAATATTGACTACACTAAGAATTCTTGCACTTTCTTTTAACTGCAATCAATAACACAGTTAATTCCCCGGCAACGGCACCAAAATTTGATCAAGCCCAACTATGACTTATAAAAAGGACAAAGCGCTCGCTGCAAATATATTCCAGTTAACAAGTCCGGAATCGAATCCCATAGGGAATTAACCTATCAATCACTTCTATTAGACTCATAGAAATTCACGTATTCAATATTCGGAGATATTTAAGTAATAAGTTGGATGTTTAGTAACAAAATATTATGTAATGAAAATGCAATGATTAATGACTAACTACTAACGGTTTGTAAGCAAGAATGGGAATGATCTAAGGTTCTGATTTCCCCTATTGTCGGAATTCTTTGCGCTATGTTTGCTATAAATTTGCCTAAGTCTTCTCTATCGATCATGAGCACTCTGACTTTCGTAGCTCTCTCCCGAGTAATTACAATAATATACTAGACATATTCTCCCGAATTGTGCTAGCTAGCCTTAAGTACAGCTTACTTAGATCGCACCCAAGGTTTTGTTCTCCCTAATCCCACCTTTAAACCCTTCATATTGATCACTCATATACGTTAGGAGTGATGATGTTCAACAACTACCTAAATATGAACTCTCTCCTGAGTAATTCACACTAAATAGGAAAAGTTAATTGAGAGCCCTTCAATCAACAGCAATAAGCATATAGTTGAACAAATAGAGATAATACTATGGAAAATCTATATTATCATAACGAGAAAATCATCCTTCAACAAGTTCTATCAAAACCCTAGATTATGCGTTTAGCTACTCATATTCATAGTAACAATATTCAAAGAAATTTGGATAATTAAATTATAGAGTAAAGAAAGAGGGATGTAGAAATCAATGATTCGAACTCCCAAGTAGTGTTCCACTAGCTATTCTTGCCTCTGGTTGTAAAAGTCCTTCAAAATGGCATTTTTAGGTCTATTTATATGTTTGGGACAAGCTCTAAACGTGTAGGTGAACTCCTAGTCAAGCCGGGAAACAATTAAAATCTTAAAAACTCATACTAGGATTGGCTTTAGGCCTGGCGTTGCCTGGCTAACGCCAGCCTCTGACTGGCTTTAAGCTGGCGTCGCCAGGCGAACGCCTGGTTGGGCCTGGCTTTAAGCTGGCCGCACCAAGCTAAAGCCTGGTCGAGCTGGCTTTTGCCTGACTTCTCCTTTTCACCTTTCTCGAGCGCACTTTCGTCGTTTAGGCATCCCTTTAGCTCTACTTTCATTTTCGATGCACCTACACATAAAATAAATTCCATTACGTCAAACAAAGTGTAATTTAACATTAAAGCATGTAAAACGCAAAGCATATAATGTGCAAAACCATGAATTATAGCCGCAACATCATGTATCACATGTATACATGTGTAATACATGTGTCACAGAAGAATCCTTTGGACTCGATTTTAATTATGAATTTTGATACCAAATCACCTCCAATTATCTTTAAATTTTATATATTGACTCATCTATATGTTAATAATGAATTTCAACCATACCTATGGTAAAAAGTCTCTTTTGCCTATATATATATATAC